AAAAGTGCTTTCCTTTATGGAGAGTTGGACTTATGGACTACACCAAGCTTTTAGATGCTGAAATAAGACATTCACCAGTTTTTTGAGTGAACTTTAGAACAACATTGACTTGGATGATGGCCTGGTAGTTAGCAGGGATGAAAAATACTTGCAAAAATATATTCCTGTTCTCAATGAAACTTTCCAGTAATGCAAAATTTTAGCTAGGATTGAAAATTCAAAGGATGGGTGATGGTTCAATTTGTATTTCCCAGGAAGACTACATTCATAGCGGTTCCAGTTTAATTAATGTTAAGCTAGCCCCCCCCCCCCCCTCCATACGTGCTCTTGTTATACCTTTTCGGCATCCATTTGTGTGAAATGCAGACTGTATATTTAAGGAAGTTATAAGAAATAAAAAACTACACAGTATGTAGGTTTATGTAGATAAACATTCCAACATTTTATAATAGCAATACTTTAAATCAAAATCCATATCGTACCAATAATTTACAGCGATGCAACCATGGCTTTGTTGTACATGGTGAAACCACAAACTAGGCAAGTATAAACAATCCCCTTCATTTATTCTAACTTTATAAACGTTCGCATTTCTAAACTGTGGGTATAAGTCTGTGTCTGGTCTTGAAGGATCGATGGATACCCAATTTAACATTTCATATTTGGAATTTTCCAATTTGGTTTCTATTTCTTGACAACCTCTAATTTGTGGTTTTGGTATGAAATGGTCACAATCGCCGCCACCATTTCTTAATTTTGGTTCAATTTCGTAGTGGTCCGTACTAACATTTTTAAACGTCCCAACTGGATAATATTTGTAAGGTACGTGAGGCAAGTCTGTCGGTGGAATTAGTATAAAATCCTTATATCCACTAATTACACAGTAGATATTCTCATAGGGATCTTTGTGCACTGAAAAACCAAGTGTGAATAACCTGCTAGTGAAGTAAAAACTTTAGTTCTCAAATGTTATTATAATTCCAATTGCAAATCAAATATTTAAGATCCAAAATTGATGGTATCTATAGAAATTCACTCATACAGTGTTATAAAATAAGCCTTCAAAGGAAGGGGACTATAACTTTTTACTCTGATAGGAGCTGCATTTTGATACTCACTGCTTGTAACTGCTCTTTCATCTCCCATCCAGAAGTTCACGGCGTCTAGACTTTTAGCAAAAATGTCCTTGGCCCACTTTAATTCGATGTCTACATCATTAATTAGCTCTTTGAAGTCCTCCAAGAGATTTGAATTCTGCTTTTGAATGTAACATACAAAGTTTTTCCTGCAAAACGAATATTCTAGAATTCATACATCTGTGCACACTCATCTTACTTAGGGGCGGTCATATTGCTCAAGAACTCGGACATTCTCATTGTTCTTTCTTCGGGCATCGCGAAGAAATCGGTGTTATTTTCAGCAATCACACCATCCGCGTATCCATTGGGAGTTATCGCTACCGTTACATCCTTGTCTGGTATTTTTTGCCTGTAATATTTTAATTTGTTTAAATGTTTTATAAAAGCAAAATGTTTCTACACTGGCTCTGCTTTCTTTGTCTTTATAGAATGTTAGGATTATCTTATTATTATAAGATATCTTATAATTTGAGAAAAAATTTAAAAAAGAAACACTGCATAGTGATTGGGAGTACATTTAGTAATTTAGTCTGTAAACAAAAGCCTTGACTTGAGGTGGTAGACGGTCGATTTTAGCATACTCGGGGTAGGCCATAGTGGAACTCCCATCGGTTAAAATTTTGATCACTCTCGTTCAGTGGATTTAGAGCTAGCTCCCCTAATATATAAATACCTAATTAAAGCACTATATTGTAATAGGTAGGTATATACACAGAAAATGTTAATTTTTTACACAGATTAACTCTGAAAGGTTTGAAAGTAATTACACCTTGAATTACACTATAAGTACTCACGAAGAGGTACTAATACAAACCGCCCGTACTCTTAAACGAGCTATCTAGCTAAACCACAAAAACTTTTTCCTAGGAGCGAAACAGTACCTAGATGCCCTGTTTAAAAATCATTCAAGTGAAGTGCTACTTAATCGAAACAAATGTGCTGAAGAAAGTACTTAAACAGTGTTAGTTGAACAACACCAAGACTTACACACAAATCACAGACTTGCACTCACAAAAAATAATCGATATTCCACAGCTTCCTTGCTCTCCAATCTCTGCAAGCATTTTTTATCACTACCGGCATATTTTTTGCAACATATTTTCTGTAAATACTCCATGACCATTGCGGATTATTTGCCTCTATATCAACACAGGGTACTTTCGTATGAAAATGCAGCAACTCTAAAAACGCGCCATAAATAAACAAATTTTTAGGTTAGGTTTCCCATTGATTGAATGTAAGAAGAGAAAATTATGTGATTTTACCTTTAGTTTCTTCTTGAAGAACATTTAAGCAGTTTTTCAACGTTTTTTCGTAATAACACATTTGCGTTTTTACAGAGAAAATTGTCAATAAATGTTGAGCCAGTTGAGAACATCCACCCTAAAGGGTTGGCATAGGGTTATAAGAAATTGTTCTACAAATGCCGATTTGCACTCGATAGTACGTGTTGATCATGCAGGCGAATTGGGAGCTGATCGAATTTATGCGGGGCAAATGTTTGTGCTCGGACATACCGAAAAAGGTCCGTTGATACAGCATATGTGGGATCAAGAAAAGGCGCACCGTGCGAAGTTTGAGGAACTTATAGTGAAATATAGAGTACGTCCCACCGTCATGGTGCCCATATGGAACATTGCCGGGTTTGCTTTGGGAGCAGGTTCTGCACTTTTAGGGGATAAAGCTGCCATGGCGTGTACAGTTGCTGTCGAAACTGTCATCGTAGAGCATTACAATGATCAGTTAAGACAGCTTATGGAGGATCCAAATACGAATAAAGAAATTTTGGAAACTATAAGGCAGTTTAGGGACGAGGAACAGGAACATCACGATATTGGAATTGATCACGGTGCTGAACAAGCACCATTCTATAAAGCGTTTTCAGAATTGGTCAAAATGGGATGCAAAGCTGCCATAAGTATATCTAAAGTTATTTAATGTATTGCCATTTATATTTGTTAATTATTAAACCCTGTTTTGTCAGTAGGTATTTAATCAAATTTTGCAATAAAATTCTTAAAACAATCCTTTACTATGTACCTATTCCTTAGATACACTATACTTATACATAATGTAAATGTAACGGGCGATCAAAAAAGAATTGACGTCGAGTTCAAGTTAAATACGGCGATTTCCCATGCAAACAAAAATTCCAAAGGTGACTCCACAGCATCTCTTTTGATCGCATAGTATCTGTAGTATACATACTGTATAGTCTAAAGACAGGTTCTAAGGTGTTTTTTTCTCTGTACAAAAAGTAATGCCAAAGTAACTAAATATGATAAGGATTATCTAAGACAATAAAACTCCAGATCGAAAAACTAACATTTTCGCCTTGAAGAGACGGTCACGGGGGTGGCAAAAACTGTATAACCAAAAATGGATTACGGCATTCAACGCCGCGGTGCTGATCTCGACATTCAACTGTCAACTCTGAAACCCCGAACGAGGGGCGAATTACATATCTCGTGGGGGCGAGATTTTGCTAATAAAAACTCTTCGGTTTAGGATCTATGTGTGATATATGAGTTACGATTCACTAATTTTCACATATTTTGTCGTAACATTGAATTTGCCTTACAAAAGTAATTATTATCCATCTTGCTCTTAAGAGAAGGATTTTATTTCACCAAAGTTGAGTCACATTTTGTGTATTTCACCCTCATAGAATCTTGGTACCTACTTGCCTGACCCATTGTTCCCAAAACATGTTTTTAACCTATATAATGTTTCTGACAGCAATGCTCTCATGTATCTTGTAAAAAATTCGTTAGGAGATGCGTCTTTTACTGCACAGCGGCAACGGTGCCGAAATTCGTTATAACATGTGTCTCGATGACCGTAGAGCTTCTGCTTCTACACATATATATACTTCTCTTATATATATGCTTCTACAGGTCTTTAACCTAAAGAGTGTCCTTAAATTTCAATCCTTTTTTTAAACTAGTAACTTTTTTATTAATTAAATTATGGAGGTAGTCGAAGATGTAATTGAAAAATCACCTTTAAACGAAGAAGAATTGCTCAAAAAACATCGACAAGAACGAAAAGACCTACAAGCCCAGATACAATCTTTAAAAAAAGGTGTAGTTAAAGGCGATAAAAAGAAAAAAAAGGAAGTTACAGAAATGATATCGAAATTAGAACAAGAACTGGATGCAGAGCAAGCGCTGGAGTTGAACAACGTAGCTGCCAATGATACAGTTTCATCCGAGCTTTCATCAATTAATGAGGTAGTCAATGGAGATGTACCCACTAAGATCTCCAGAGCACAAAAAAGGAGAACGAAAAAAGAAACCGAAAACAAGGAGCGTGAGAAGAGAATAGCAGAGGAAGAAGTCAATCATCGGCAAGGGCCACGTGTCGTCGAGTTAAATACCATTAAAGAACTGCTACAAAATGAAGGACTGCAAATTTTTAATATACCCGCGGATGGTAATTGCTTGTATTGCGCCATTAATCACCAACTGGAGGTGACGGGCCGAGTCAGCTCGAATGTTTCGAAGCTACGTAAACTTACTGCTTCATTTATACGCGACAATAAAGAGGAGTTTCTTCCATTCATGTATAACGATGACGACGATGAACTTATAGGAGAAGACAAGTTTGAGAAGTATTGCAAAGATGTAGCTAATACTAAATTGTGGGGAGGACAGTTGGAACTTACTGCCCTGTCGAGCGTTTTAAAGTGCCCCATTAAAGTTATTCAAGCTTCGGGCCCTTTAACTATCCAAGCCGAACAGTACGAAGGTCCACCCTTAATTCTGACGTATCACAAGCATTTATATCGATTGGGGGAGCATTACAACTCGACCATTACTTCAGTAGACGATAATATGCAAGAAAGTGAAGATACTTTTGCCTAAAGCATGTCAATTTTTTTTTAAACATTTTTTTTTTAAATGGTTCTGTTTTGACCATTTTTTTAATTTATGTATGTATTAAAGAACTTGAAATTGATTAAGCCGATAGTATTTATTAAAAAATAATTACATATGTACACAAATGGTTACTTCCATTGAATTATCGCTAATAAAAATATTTAACTACTTTTTGTTTTAAAAATTTTAGCAGTTCCATCATCGGATGTACTAAGAAGATCAGTACAATCCTTCGTTAATGATAAACTTAAAATGTTTGCATTATGACCTGTTAAAACTTCAACTAAAGTACCAGATCGTGTATCACAAACATAAATACAACCATCTGTACAACCAACAAACATTTTATCATCGACTCCCCATTTAATTGTGGTTATAGAAGTATCAAACTTTGTTTCGTGTCTTAGATTATTTTTTTTATAGTCCCAAACGCACAGTTTGCCTGATATTGCACCAGTGGCTAGCAATCCTGACTCAGTGTTAAAAGCAACCACCTCCACTTCGGTTTCGTCAGCAGTAAGATACGACGCAGTTTGGGTACCATCTGCTACTTTAAACAGTTGTGCAGAAGGGGCCACGATACACAAGTTTGCATCATCCGTAATGTCTAGAGATGTAATTGCCAACAAAGGAATATTCGCAGTTAATTGCCATGACATTTCGCCACTTTTTAAATCCCACAAACGTAATTGGCCATCGCCATAACCGGCTAACAATCGTTTGCCATCTGCTAGTATTTTGCCACTATGTGTAGATGTCCCGTGTGATGGCAGCACCTTACAATTTCCCTGCGGAATTTGCCACACGTAGATATCTCCAGACTGACAGCCTGCTATAAGAACATTAGCCATGTGATGCCATAGTAGCCACTCCATGTCATCTCCTTCGTAGCACCAAACCAGTTTCTTATTATGAACATCCCAAACTTGTATTAATCCACTCATGTCACCAGTGGCGACAAATTGGTCATTAAAATTAAAACTAGCTTCAACTACTGAATCCTTATGCCCGGTGCATTCCAAAAGGACTTCGCCGGTTTCTGTGGACCAAACGTAACCCATGTCATCTTCACCACCGGTAACCGCTAATGTCCCGCTTCTGCTAAACGCTCCTGTAAAGACTGAGGTTGGATGCTTCGAAAACGTTAAGTGCGCTAAATCAATTGCTTGTGCATAATCCCCTTCATCCTGAGCATCCTCATTTAGATCAATATCATCAATTTCTTCGAGTTCATCTAAATAGACCACTTCTATGTCGTCAAAAGTTTCGTTAGGTTCTTCCATCGTATTAAATTCCAAATGATTTAAAATTAATTAAGACTATAAAATGAGTAAAAAATGAATTAATTGCTAATTAACCAAAAACAACGTGCTTGAGGAGTTTCATATCAAACAGTAGAGCTACTTTGTTACAGTCAAACTACTAAGTTGATAGTATTAGAACTACAACAGGTATTATGAACTATCTTGTATTTTGTAGTTTGATTTTACTAAACTCAAAGATCATACTACACTAGATAGACAGCGCTGTATAAATTTTAGACTCTCATAATTCGTCCCGCCAAATAAGTCGACTGCGTCCTCCAGCGGCTATGTTTTTATGAGAATAGTACAAACTACCTGGCGGGGTAAGAAGACGCGCGAAATGGCAAAGCACAGTTATTTTTAGAATAAAGGGCTATTGTATGGGATATCGGTGTCATTCCTAAGCACAACCTTGTGTGGGTGTTATAGATGTTTTTATCTGGTTACCTTACTGTAAATTAAAATACCGAATATTCACATCTTGATTTAAATTAAATTTTTTATCGTAACACAACGAAGTTGAGGTAAAGCTTATGTGCTCGTGTTTCCGTATGTCCGTCCGTCCGTCCATCCGTTCCATCGAGATCTCGGCCCCTGGGCCACCTAGAGACTTCGGGTTTTCGCTAATTGATAGCCGTTATGGTCTATATTTGCCCATTTCGATCAGTTTCGCATTTTCCATATTTTGCGCAGACTGCGCAATGCCAACTTTCATATTTATGGAGATATTTCTTTGAAATTTTAACCACAGACGCTTCTAGTTCCGACTCACTTTAGATGGACACAATTTTATTATGTAGGAGGCTAAGCGGGATATCTCGTTTATCCCAATCATAAAATGCTTAATTACAACAAATCTAAATTAGATAAATGTGTGGTTACAATTTAAATATGCCTGGATAAGTAGGTGCATATTATCACAGATTTATAGTATATTTAAATCTGTGATATTATATTTGAAGATTTGCTAAAGTATCGTAGATACGTGAAACTAAAAGTTTTCAGAAATTATGCTAAGAAAAAAGACGCTTTTGCAATTATTAATTTAATCCGAAAATCTGGAAAATGTATTGGTTAGCGCTGGTTAAAAAAAAGCAAAGGGAATATTGGGTACAACTTTCAAATTAATTCTTTCATTGTAACGTCCTGACTGTAATAGAATCTACCTCGTCTTGAATGACGCCCACTTACAAATGTAATTTTATCCCAATGATAGTGAGGAGTGTTCAGTAGGTCATGTTTATGTGTCTCGTGTTTAGACAATAATCACTTTGTATTTATATATGATTCGAACTCGTACGAAGACGGCTTCCGATGAATCAGTTACGTTCTTAACTTTGAAAGCCCCCTATAAATATTTTTATGGAACTACTTAAACGCGAAACAACTCTTGCATATACGCTGGCTATCTAGTGTAGTATGATCTTTGTTCGCGTTTAAGTAGTTCCATAAAAATATTTATAGGGGGCTTTCAAAGTTAAGAACGTAACTGATTCATCCGAAGCCGTCTTCGTACGAGTTCGAATCATATCATAAATACAAAGAGTGATTATTGTCTAAACACGAGACACATAAACATGACCTACTCAATACTCCTCACTATCATTGGGATAAAATTACATTTGTAGTACGTGGGTGTCATTCCAGACAAGGTAGATTCTATTACAGACAGGACGTTACAATGAAAGAAATAATTTAAAAGTTGTACACAATATTCCCTTTGCTTTTTTTTAACCAGCGCTAACCAATACATTTTCCAGATTTTCGGATTTAATTAATAATTGCAAAAGCGTCTTTTTTCTTAGCATAATTTCTGAAAACGATACTTTTAGCAAATCTTCA